CCCCTTTCATATCTCCTTTTTAGTCATAGGTTGTTTTCTTTTTTTATAGATTTTTTGATAAGATAATTCTGGTTTGTCCACGAACTGTGCAACAGGTTGCATTTAGGTCCATAAGGTAACCGAGTGAAGTTGGGCACTGAGTTCTATAAATTAAATGTATATAGTTCTTATACACATTTTAAATGTATATAGTTCTTATACACATTTTAAATGTATATAGTTCTTATACACATTTTAATAAAAAGCAAGCCATGGCAAAACCCATGAAAATTAAAAAAAAAAAAATAGTTACCATAAATTTCGGTGCAAGGTACCCAGCGTGACAAATAATATAGATCAATTTTTAAAATATTAATTATACACCATGTAACGTGTAATACATATGATTTGAATTTTTTTTAATTGCAAAAAATCATATTACACTAAGTACCTTGCACCGAAATTTACGGTAGTTCAAATTAAAACTTGCATTATATAGTCTTTGTTTTGAAAATGACCTTATAGTACATGATACCATAAGGTCATTTTCAAGGCAAAGACTCTATATACTATATTTAAAATATATATATAGGTTAAAAAAAAATTAAAAAATAAATAATAAAGGAAATTAGTAAATAGTACACTTTGCATCATGGTACATTGGTTTGCTAATCATGTAAATATATTAATATATATTGATCAAACAAACAATTGCAAAACTATATTGGCAAAAAACTCTTTCCAACGATCATTTGTACCAAAAATCTAAACATATTTTTTGTAAAAAACACAATAGCATTTAGTAAAAAACAGAGGCATGCTACTAGCTATAAGTCGGCAGTTGTTATTTAGAGATAGTTCTCATATGCTACTTGCTAACTTCTTCAGAGTTTATCACTCACCGCTTGCACAGCACTTGTTGTTTAGAAGTAGTTCTTATATGCTACTTGCTGACAAGCCCAGAGTTTATCACTCACCAAAAAGAAAGTATAGGTGTTCACCCCTTTTTAGAAGAAGGTTTAGGAGTTGTTGAGTCTTTACATGGATGTAACTACTTTTCTTGGGTGCAAGTGGTCTCTCCCTAGGTGTTTTTTGCTTGGCCAGTTTTCTCTAAAATTTTTGACAAAAAGTGGGTGATTTGGCCTACCCCCTTCAAAAAATCGGCATTGTTTACCTCCCAAATTCGGACGTACCCAGGAATACAACTACGTGTCTTGTTTATCGGTGAATATAATATGTGATGTAATCTATGGATACAGAACCTTCACGTGACTGAGATCGGGTCTCTGGCATAAGATGCATCCAGAGGTGGCCGGTAGTCAGATAATAAAGGTTTTATATTATAGTCGAGATATACAAACGTTGCAGTTGTTATAAAATTTTTTCTTATACCTGGCATAGGTTATAATAGTGTATTTCTTCTTGTTTTTTTTTTTTTTTTTGTTTCTCCTGTGCTATTTCTTTATAGAGGTAGTTTTCTCTTTGTCAGCCCTTGGGCTTTTCTCTTTGTGTTTTTTTTTTTATATCTCATTGTATTCTCTTTTTTTTTCTTTTAAAAATACCCCTTTGTTCTATTTGTTTTTTTAGTTAGTTTTTTGTTTTGTTTTCTTGGTAGTATTGGTGGTTTTGTATAAGATTATCACTTTCTTTTGTTCTTAGTAAAGAAAGGAGATATAAAGGGAAAAGCTTTGATGGGCTAACAAAGTTTATCTAACTTGTATACAGGTTGGTGCGACAAGTTGCATGAGAGTATATTTATCACAGCCAGATAATATCAGGCTCGCAATCATGAGACTCCCTGTTTTTTGGTTATAAATGATATATGTATTGTTCGAGAGAGCTTAGCTCTCACCTAAAATATAGTTCCAATAAATTAAGCACTGGCAAGACTGTCAAAGAATTAAAAAAAAAAAAAAACTATATTAGCAGAGAGTAAAATATCCCATAATCAAGTAATACAAATTATGTATTTATTTAATATAAATAAAAAATATAAACAAAAAAAGGTTACTTTTTTGCTTACAAAAGCAAAAGCAAAAATCTATGTAAAAATAAATACAGCTAAATAAAAATAATATAGTACAAACACTACATTGTTTTTATTGTTATTATTATACTATTTCTGTAGTTTATCTAACTTATAAAAGTACATATATACATTTATCTGGCAAACTCATATGATCATGGCCAAATTTTTGTACATTATTTTTTAGGCATTTATGATGTAATATCAAATAATTAAATTTTGCTCAATAAAAATTACTATTTATGCATTACAAATAATAATCTTTAAAATATATTATTATAATTTTTGCATTATTTATTAAATTATTAAAAATTAAAGGTACAATTATAAAAAGTATTCCTAGTAAGGAATTTTTCAATAAATTCTTTATTTTTTTTTTTGACCCTTTTTGAAATTTTCAACCACATGCTTTTGCGAATTATTTTCCGGAATATTTCGATCGTGTTCGGACAACACAGAAGAATTATTATGTAAAAACACATCAAGATTGTCAAAAAAATTGCAAGTAATACTTGTGATTTACCCAATACAAACTTGCAGAAACAAACCCACAATTCGATTAGGCTTAAGGGCAACATCGGCTTTGGGGCAAATTTGGCTTTGGGGTGACATTTTTCTTGGAAGAAGCACTGGCTTTGGGGGCATCGTCTAAAAGAAAAAAACAAAAAAAAAATCATTCAGCTGAATATTTCAATTAAAATCTAAAAATTTGTAAAAAATTTATCTTTCAACACTTCATTTGAAACACGCATCAATGCATTAAAAAATCTATTAATGTTTTCGTGTTGCATTACTGATGTTGGCTGTTCATATGCAGCAAAACCCTTTTGGGACTTGTGTCTCATGATCAATATTACAATAGAATCAGAATATTCAAGTTCTTTCAGCAGTTGTACTGCTGTTTTCCTCACTAAATGATTTAAAATATTATAAGTGCCAATTTGGATACCCACAGTTTCGCATATTGTGTGAAAGTAACTTCTTAATACTCGTTTTTCAAATGCATGTCTGAAATACTATTGCCCATTAAATTCAACTAAAAGAAGTTAGTAGATTTAAGAAATAGAAAAAAAAAAAAAAATACTTTACTTGAATTTACACTAAAAGGTTTCAAATAAAAATTTGTAACTGTAGATACTGAATGTTTACTAAAATAAAATTCATAATTATTAATTATATCTTTAATATTTGGCAAGCTGATTACTTTTGCTTATGCATCGTAATCCTTAAGCCCTTGTTGGTTAATACAATTTAATGTCAATTCCTCCATCAGATCTTTTGATAAAATTGTTAATTTCGAGGCTTTTATGCTTGCCTTCTCGTAGAGCTAATAAAGTTGAATTAATCCTTCGGGCTATCACGTTGTATCGTATAATGCTCAAGGATCTGTTTGACCTTATTCATTGTTAACCCATCTGCCCAGTTTTTTTACCAAAGCCCTTTGCAGAAAGAGTTTTCAGTTTTTCATTAACCACTTGATTTAAATTGAAGTACACCTTCAGATTGAGTATGTCAACTGGTTTCTCCATAACAAAGTGCTGGTTAAGATAATGCTAAATTGCTGCCAGGCAACTTCTTACCGAACTAGCATGATATTTTCCACCATCACATCGTTTTATAGTGCAAATGAACTTAGATATTTGATCTTCTAAGACCTTCTTATCATTTATTTGTTCTATTATACCTTCAAACCCAACATCTAACTGAAACTCTTCTAAAAGGTTTATCCACATATATGTAGCCACATAAGTGGCTTTCACTTTTGCATTTTTCCAGATTGTGCCAAGTTTCTCTGCCAACAGTTCTATATACTTAACTCTCTAAAAACAATATGTTATAAAGCTTCTTATAAGATAATATAACCCAAAGCAGTTAAGTTGAAAAATTACCTTGGACTTATTAACTTTCACTCCAGCAGATTTAGTTTTTGGCATTTTAGAAAAAAACTTTATCTGTTTTTTTTTATTACTTTACAGAAGAGCCTTATAGTTTTCTGGTGAAATATTTTACCAACAGTTCTTAAACTTTAAAAATACTAAAATTCCAATGGCCAACTTTTGAATTAGCGACCTCCAAATTTTAGACCTTTCGAATTAGCAATCTTTAAATCCAGAGATCACAGCCTTAAACTTGCAACTTAAAACTTCCAAAGGTAATAAAGATATTGGGTGAAAAAAAAATAAGGAACTTAATGAATGTATTTTAAAAGTATGGTGGCTTAAAAATTTTTTTTCACTTTTTCGCTTTAAAAGAAATATAATTTTTTACTGATCTATTATTTCTTTTTTAGATCTAAATTTATATTTATAGGGGAGGAGGATTGGGACCATAATCATAATTGCTGGATAACACCATTATTAGACAAATTGTTTAATAACGGCAATTTGACTCAACCAGACAAATAATTGTCTGACACATGCTGCTTCATGGTATGTGTTAGCCAATCATTTGTCCAGTTGAGCCAAATTGCTATTATTAAACAATTTTTGCTCAATAATATATACACATATATACAATATACATATGTTGAAATTACTTCTTTCAAGCTATAACAGTAATATTTGTTATATGATTTCTGCTATTTATAGACCCTGGGGTTATTTGGGATTAAATAATGACAAATAAGGCATATGATAGTTCAAATAAAGTAAGTGAAAAAAATCAAAATAAAGCAAGTAAAACAAGAGACATAAAACAGGAAAGTTGGGTAAATAAAACAACTCAAGAAAATAATAAAAATAAGGCTAGTGAAGGAACTAAGAGCTCTTTTGAATTATTAAGTCATAATAAAGAAAAAGCAAATAACTTAGTTGTAGTTTCAGTAAAAGTAGCAGATCTGTTTGAAGATTTTGAAAATACTAAAAAGTATATATGACTATATACTGAGTTTAAAGAATTTTTTGCTAATTTGTCTAAGATAAATAGTATTTTATATGTGCAAATTACTATTAATTGGTGATCTACAGTTAACCAGAGAATGATCATAGTAAAATGTAATTCAAATTATTTATAAAAATTGGGTGTTTTCAAATATGACCTGCGTAAAAAAACTCTTTCCGTCTATCACCCATACACAAATTTTCCCAGCTTAATTATTTTAAAAATATCTTATAACTTTATTTTCTACTAAGATAATCTTAGTTTTGCTACTAAATAAACTTATTCTTAACAAAAAAAATACATATAATATTTAAATATTAAACTAAAAACTTTTAAAACTATCGAGAAACGGCCATCTGGCCTTTTTTCTTACACTTCTCTTAATAACTCTAAAACGGCTATCTAAACACACTCTCTGAACTTAGAAAAACTTAAAGAGCTCATCATTCCCGTCATAACAAGCTAAATTTCAAGCCTGTAGCCTGAAACTGACGGAAATACACCTGAAAAACATCCCAAACTCCCCTAGATTTTTCTTTTTTTTTTCTTTAAGATTTCTTTTTACAAAAAACTCTATAGGCGTTTTCTGTGCAACACTAGCTATTTTTAGACCATACTACCCACGTTTTTAACTACTCAAAGGTTCTCTACAAATTACACCAATCTTATTCTAAATTTTAATTTAAATTTAATATTTACAAAAAATTAAATATTTAACTAATACGAATATTATAGTTTGTACTTATTAAATTACAGTTACACAACACAACATTAGCCACACTAGCCACAGTTACACAAGCCACAGTTACACAAGCCACAGTATTTAGAAGGTTCTATAGCGTAACGTTACACGAAACAAAATTTGTATCACTGTGAAGCTAATCACAAGCTCGTTTCGAATTAGCTAATATTTTCGCTTAACGATGCCTACTCTTAGCGATACCTTACCCGATACAGTCGATTTGGATGCTTTTTTTAGTCAATACCCTAATCGCTTCGGCATTTGGGTATATAATGAAAAACCTCTCACTAGCAGACCTACTCCACCTAATCTCAAACCAACTCAATGTTTCACACATCTACATAAAAATGAGAAAGCTATACACTTTTTTAAAGCACCAAATACCACTGCCGAAGTTTTCTGTCTCTGCAATAAATATCATATACAATTTATCTCAGCAAACAATACAACTTACAACCTAAACAATAAAAACCTAACCAAAGTAAACTCTAACAGTGGCCGCAAAAACATGTCTAAGAAACTTCAACAAACTACCAAATTC